TCTTCTAAAATTGCTGTGTTAGTAAGAAAGAAGTGGAGTGTTTTCTCATGGTGGGGGAGTGGAGTGTTTTCTCATGGTGGCAAACCTCACAACAAGCTACTGTCTTAATTTGGGTTGGTCTATGAACACAAGAACTTAAGAGCAGCCAAACAGGGTTAAACACGTAGTTTGCCTTCGATAGTGACTGGAACAAAAGTGGTGGAACAAAAAGGTTACAAGAAACAGCACGACTACCGCAGAGAAATCCTTCAGGTGTTAAATCCTGAGATGTGAATTTTTCACGTACGTATAAAATTATTCCCTGGGCCTATAGTATGTAGTTACTAGCACACTGTTGTTTGAAATTAAAGGTCTCGTTCATTGATAAACTAACATCACTTGGTTACAGTTTGTCAGTACGGCATACTCTAATCTGTGTTTTCATCATAATGGGATCTCCTTTGAGACATTGTCATGCTATAAAAGGCCATATTCCCATACTGATTGCCTGCAAATGGAAAAGGTAGCATGACTAGGTTAGTACCACCACATCCTTACTGCTGAGGCCTCATGGTCATTTTAATGAATCTTATTTATGCTGTATGTAGTCAAGGTCCAACTTTATTCAAATTTAAATTATACATACATAAAAAGCAACTTGTTTTTATCCCAGTTATATGCCAGTATGCTATATAGTAAATGTTTTCATATGTTGTCATTTTAATCCCAGTTCTGTCATGTAGGCTCAGTAGAATAATAAAGAATTGCATCATGCTCGGTGAGATTCTAAGAAAGGAATACTTCTCTGTGATACACATTGTTCTCAATATCACTCTGCAACTCCGAAAGAGTGCCATTTTATGGCTTTTCTCTTTTCGTGTCTGTCATAGAACAGAGAACAGTTTTAATAGCCATCCACTCTCAGTATTAAAATTGCAGTTATGCCTGGATTGCATGTGGATTTTTCAAACAAAAGGACGTCTTTTCTTCCTGTCCCTCTTGTACATATGTTCACATTCTGCACAGTCACATGCTGCTAACCATGTGTATAAAGCCACATGTTATGTCATATTTCTTCTTTTTGAAATTCCTGTAGTGAAAAGACTGAATAAACTCCTTTTGTTGATATACCTTGATCTTTATTCTGATATACTTAAACCAAATATTCAGATGTTTGAAAACCCTTATCCGAAACAGGCATGTTAAATGTCACGTTGTTTCTTGCTAATGCAAACTGCAATATACACAAAGGCAGTGGAGGAACAACTGGGGTGTCTATAAAGTGTGCAAACATGACAGATCGACAGTATTTCACAGTTTATGTTAAAACCAGCTTCTTGAGAAAGGTAATTATAAAATGAAATATTTAGTTCTGGTATTTAGGTTATTCATTTTATTTTAATTGTCTTTTCCCAAGATAATTGGGTATGTTTCCACATGTTTGTTGAAGAGAAGCACTGGGCTATTTTCTTTAGACATACGGTTTATAATTTATCATACTGTTGATTAACATTTTTCAATTATGTGGTTTATTTTAATGACTAAAGTACTTTCTAAGTATGGCGACAAGTTGTGAAATGCCTTTTAGCATTACAGGAAAGACTATAGTTGCTGTATTAAATACCATTTCATTATATATTTGTGTATTACATATATTTTTTGGTCTTAAGTTAAGCAAAACTGTTGTCTTTTCAGTTTGAACTGAAAGGTGTAGTTTGAAGGTTACTGTTACCTTAATGTTGATTTGCAGGGAGGGAGGGGTGGTGTCCATTGATATTTTGGGCGAGTTCAGGGCCCATTGTGCTTGACACTGTACAGACCTATTGTTAAAAAAAATCCTATCACCAAAAAAATGAGTAAATCTATTTAACAAAAAATCTAGAAGAAAGAGTAATTCAAGAAATTTGGGAGGGCAATGAAACAGCAACATATTTTGCATAACTAGTCAAATGTACGATTAAAAGGTTTTGTAGCTGTTTTCAATGAATGGAATGTTTAAAGTTTGTTGTGGTGATTTGTGGGACATGGTGGTATGTCTGCATTTTGTAGACTGTTAAAATGATAATATATACTTCAAACAAATGTTTGATTAAGAAATGGACAACACGGCTTCAATCCTGCAAAGAAGCGTACATACTTCTATTTGCACTGAAGTAATAGACACATTGATGTGCTTTATATTTAATACCTGTGTAAGTATTTTCAGGAATTGGCTCTGAAACTGTCAAGGCCAGCTTCAGATTTGCTTTAGCATTTACTGCTACTGTTAGTTTTGGTGATAACTCTGCTAAGCTGTTACAGGTATCAACCCATAAACTCTTGTCTCTGAAAAACAGTACAGTTGACTATGTAGATTGTATGTTGTTTCTTTTCATTAAAGTAAAACATATATTCAAGTGTTGATCTTTATACAATATTAAAGCAAGCACTCACTTCCAGAGCTTACTAAGTTTTTGTTAGCATAGCTTTTGCAGTAACACTGAAAATGAAAGCTTCCTTCTCACAAGTAATTTGTATGTCAGATGGCAGATCTCACGCATAAGAAAGTATAATTTAAGGGTTTCTCAGCTGACCACCAGTCTGTCTCAACCAATGATAGGTAAAATATTAGACTGTATATGTGTCCAAAAGCCAGTGATCTGTTTTAGGTTTATGTAAATTCTGACCCTGATTCAGGTCATTTTATCTCAAGGTCTATCACATACATGTTTTCCCTAAATTAAAAAAAAAAAGAAGGAACTCTTCCTGTTAAAAAGAATGAAATAATTAGAGATCTCCTGAGTTCTTGGTCATGTGTTTGTAGAAACAACTTCTGAAACACAATAGTTGTTCCATTCTAATGGGGTAGAGGAGATAGAGGGCAGCGGGGAGAAGACAAGAAGAGTTTTATTGACAATCTGTATGACTTTATTCCAGGTGTTTCTGATTTTATTATACATACAGATAATCAGATTAATCTAGGTCTGCAGAGAATGTATTTTCTCTGTTTATAGCCTCCAAATTTTCCTTTCAATTCTAGAAAGGAGCTCCAGAAAGGAGCAATATGCAAAGTGTACATGCATCCAAATGAAACTGTAAAACCCACCATGTTCTCACACGCTGTAGAGAAAATCATGATACAAGATTGGTTTGATTTTCTAATCACTATTTAATCATCAGTTTAACTATTAATAAAAAGCTTATGCTTTCATTTTAGTTACAATATTTTGTACTTCTAAACAGGAAATGGCAAGCAACAGAAGTCCAGTAAGTGCTCAGGAAAAATGCCATATGGCGTGTGCATCATCTCAAAAAACTATGAGCTCTTAACTTTGCAAATGTCTTTGTGCCACATGGATGCAGAACCTAGATTAGCAAAAAATGTGTGAGTAAAGTCATGGCAACTTTTCACTCATGTCATTTGTCAAAGATGTTTAATTTGCTGCTGTGTGGTAAGTTGTAAAAATATAATTGAGTAAATATTTTGTTAGCATCAGTCTATGACTAAAGATGAAGTAAAACATTTAAAATATTTTTAGACTCTCTGTGTATAGAATACTCTCAGCTTCACTCAGGTAAGGGGAAAAATATCTCAAATCGCTACAGTTAGTTTGATTTTCAACTTTTGTCTTTATTTAAAATTTTAGTCCTTTCAGTGTTTGTGAATCCTTCATTCTGGATCCATCTGCAGCTGACTTAGCGGTCCTGGAATCTGTAAAATAAATTTCTTTGCCTTCTAATGTTTCTTCGGCTCTTTAGATAGCAGTTCTTCCTCTGCAGTCAGACAGCTAACTGGGACGCCGAGTCATGGTGTTAATAATTGATTTCAGTCAGGAGGGTGGATGATATTTTTGTACCAAAGAAAGTATAAGAATGATTAGAAATGACAAGATAGATACTGTCTGTACTTATTGAAGGGAAGAGATCCTATTGTGTCCTGAAAGCCCTCGCCAGAGCCCAGCCAGGGCCGGCGTCTCCCTGTGGGCCGGGGAGCCAGGGCCAGCCCTGACAGGCAGGGGCTGTGCCAGGCAGGGCCCTGCCGGGGCGGCCAGAGCCCAGCCATCAGGCTAGGCCAGGGTGACGATGCAGGGCCGAGGTCGAGCCAGGAACACGAGTCAGTAAGGCGGGGTGAGGACCAGGTCTTGTGTCAGGGTCAGAGACAGCCAGCGGTCGCCAGGCTGAGCCAGGATGTCAGCCCGCGGGCCGGAGCCTGGGTGTGGGTCAGCGGGGCCCACGGCCGGGCATGGCCGTACCGGCATGGCTACCACATGGGTGGGACCTCAGGCAAGGCTGAGCACCAGAGCTTCGGCTTCAAGGCAGCTCCTACAGAAGGGGGCCAGCCTTGGCTGAGGCCACCCTGCAGAGCTGTCTGGCAGCTCCCCACAGTCACCAGAGGGAAGGAGGGGCAGCCCTCAGCTGGGCTATCTCTAAGTTGGCCCTGAGCCCAGCAGCCAAATCCCCAGGAGGGGGATGCAATCAGGGCCCTTACAGCCATTTAAGGTCCCAAGGTGCTGCTGTCTTTTTTTCTCTGCTTCACAGAAAGGCATGGGAGCAGATGGTAGACACTTTAACTCTGCAAATATAAGTGACACCTAAGTTTCAAACTTTTACAGCTTTTTATTTACCTTGTTATCTACCTAGCTAGTAAAACTGTGCTATGACGACTCAATTATCAATTTCTTTGTGAGCATTTATTTTGGTCAAGGAACTGTCTGTTCTCATTTTTCATGTTGATTTCTTTTCTAAAGTGTAGCAGCTTCATTCCTCAGGCATTGAGTAGGTTTTGTCTGTTCCAGGCACTGAAAGAAAACCCCATTTCTCTGGCATTTGCGGTGAGACAGAAGAGGTGTTTTGGGTGCTGTCTGGTTTCTTGGCTAAGTAAGATGAGGTAGTGAATGCTGTGAGATTATTGTGATATTCAAAAAAGATTGTTTAAATATTTTCTTCTGCTTTAGGCACCAGTTGCCTAACTGAGCAGTATAGTTTCTTTTCTTCTCTTTGGGGTACTAGGGAAAAATTTTTCATGGCCAGAGGCCTGTGGGATGCCAGGGTTTCGGTGGGGCAGCGACAGAGAAAGGAGAAGCAGTTTCTTTCTATTCATCGACTTAGAGATCCAGGATAAAATTTTCATTCAAGCCTTTGGCAAAATTCCCAACAATTTTAGTGGGACGTGAGTTTCACACACAGCCCATACTTGTTAGGTTATTACTTAGAGTGTAGTCTTTCAGAACAGATTGTAAATTTGTGATAGACTATAATTGGAAAGAGTATTACGAGAAAAGGGGAAGAATTGGCTTCCCTAATAAAAGGAAAACAATCACCACTTTTTCTTCCCAACTGCTGTATGAGTTGAGAACAATTTAGATTACTTGGCAGGTGTGAGGTTTGCAGCATTATTTGTTGAAGAAGGTCCTTCCCAAAGTGATACAGATTATATCTGTAAATCTGCCCTTTGTTGTGTGAATTATCATGAAGGCAGTTTCCCAAACAAATTTACTAAACTATTTGGCTTTGGTTTTTATTACGTAAATTATGTATGCTGTGTTATTCCTGTAAAATAAAATTAAATTTAGAATTTTCACAAGTCTTATGATGATCTTAATGCAGGCCTGCACCAGAAAATGTTTCAGAACATACATGAAACATCATGTTCTCATCTATCAATATAAAGATATATTAATATGGTTATCTGGAGCATACATGCATGTAGTGCAACAACAACGTAAATGCAAACAAACACGAAACGTATATGATGACTGGAGAAAAATACTGGAGAAAACAATGCAAACAAATAATGAATAAATATAAGATTTTCTTAACCCCACCATTGTGGTTAAGATTTGATATTGCCATTATTTTAATTTTTAATACCTTCGGTAGATAAATAAAATGCCTTCGCCGTGCAGATAATGCTTTTCTTGAGAAATCCAACATGAAGTGCAAGTATAAAAATAAAAAGGTAAATTTAAATATGTAAATTTAAATAGGAGAATATTAAAATAAATCACTATATCTTTTGAACAGCTACTAAAAAAATAACGCAAAGAATACGTGCTTGTCAAATATGCAGTATAAATAAATAATTTAGGTGAAAATGGATGACTAGATATAACAAAGAGACGACCAAATAATGAAGGGCTAAAGGGTGGTTGTTACATCTGATGTACTTCATTGTATATTGTAAGTAATTGCTATCCATAAAAAATTCCATGGCTTCTGTATGAGAAAAAGAGACAATTTGACAGGCAACACTAGTAGTCAGCGACAGCAAGTACAAATCCTTGGCAACTGTCATTATCCTGCTGTTGAATTCACATCCAAAACTGTATGATAACTTTGACCTGTATGGCTGTTACTGAACCAATGTCTGTTAAAGTAACTATATTTTTCACTTATGGAAAAAAATATTAGCCATGTGCACATTTATGTCTTAGAAAACTTTATGGACTTTTCTGTATTATACTGCTGTTTTCTATTTAAAGAAGAAATACGGAGAAATATGCTTTAGTTAGACAATAATGAATAATTAGAAAATTGCACTAGAGCAATAGAATAAAAATTTTGATCTGATGTAGATAACCAATTTCAGCATGTAGAATTAATTGAAAGTAAAAGTTCCTCTTGTAAAAATTATAGGAAGGATTCAACACTTTGGCTATGAATAAACACCAGATTAACTGCTTTTAAATGAGAAAAAAGTTGTTAGACCTCTTTAGGTTTTTCGTTTTTTTTTTCATTTCTTTTCCCATTTAGATTTCTGGTTTCAAAATCTTTTCTTTCTGTATCTGTATCTGGGCACCTTTACCTGTGCTGTAAAAAAAATGATCACAACATCTTGGTGATAGCAGCTAGCAAAATTTACCATTGGCTAAGAAGAACTTTTGCTTTAATATGAAGTACCAAGCTGTTCTTCCTGACTGGTGAAAGCCATTTCACATTGGCTTTTTCATGAGGTTTCCATGTATTAGAACTTTCATTTTATGGCGTTTAATCTCCAGAAGGACGGGGCACCAGGGTTACATCTAAAGTATAAAACAGCTCAGCAGCACAAGAGTAAGATTACTCTTGGTAATTGCATGCTTGCATTTTCTGTTTGAAACCACTGTGGTTAAGGAATTGGAGTGTATGCACAAGTACCCTAGGGTTTACATACACTGTACATATAAATAGTGCTTGTGATGGTGGGAAATTTTCAGAAAAAGCTGGACAAGGACTGGGGAACGGTAACAGTATTAGTCCTGTAGTTTCTTTGTATAGTGTAATTTAGTGAGAGGAGGTTTCACAGGTAGTGTACCTTGTTGAAAAGTAGTAGCCCTTTGCTAGACCAGACCACTTACATAATGGTTTACTTGTCATGGAAACAAGATAATTCCTCGTTGATACTATCAGTACTGTTAATATTCCATCAAATTAGTTCTTGAGTAGTAAGTAAGGGTGTTGTCTGCTAAAGAAGGACGTTATCTACAGAATAAATAATGGCAATGAATAGATTTTTATTGTTTAAAGAAATTTGTTTCTGGTTTCGTAGTTACTTTCTGCTCTTGAAGTGGGTAACAAAATGACCTTTTAAGGAAAAGAGTACTTACAAATATAGTGTCCTCATGCTGTCACTAGTCAGAACTCAAAACACAGCATAATGTGTTCAGATGCATAATACTAAGATGTTATCTTTGATTGCACTCCAATATGTGGTATTCCTGTGATATTTATTAGTTTAAGGATTTCCTAGGTAAACATACTGCAATCCATGCAGACAAATTTTGAAATTCACATTTGTTGTGACATTTTTGTAATTTATAATGGGAATAAGCTGACATTTAAGAATTATTTGAATGTGAAAGAAGAATGAGGGCTTGATCTCATCCAATTCCTTTCTTGCTTTTTCTTGATCTTTGATGTTGCTGTTCACACAGTTATACTAGTGCTGATTTTCCAAAGACTGGATAAAATTAGGTTGTGGAATTTTCATATGGGTGAATATTCCGTCTAGCCTATGATATAAAGTAATTTTGCGCCATTAATAGTAGCGTCAAATTGAAAGTTGGAGGGTTTTTTTCTCATTTATATTAATGTATTTATGCAAATAAAACCTTTTTTTTTTAGCTTTATGAGATAATTCAATGTTCATTTTGTATGAAGGAAGTCTATCACAGACTCCGTGTTACTGCAATATAGTATAGCTGAAATACCTACTGTCCTTCACCATAATCCTGTCCTACAGCACTTTATACAATTCTCATTCTCATCCTAGCTTGTGCAAAGATTAATTGAGCTGAAGTCTAAAATAATTTTATAGTTTGCAGATACAACAATCAGGATGAAACTATTAACACAGTTTCATAATGTGTTTTCCAACTTTAATTAAGTTGTTGTAGGCTTTTCTGAACTCCTTACAGTCTATCATTACTAAGTTAAACTAGTTGAAAGACCAGAGCAAAAAGATAAAGTTTTAACTATATTTATCACATTTCTGTTTCAGAAAATGTCTCTCTCCCTATGCAAAAACAGCTGTTAAAAGTATTGAAGGGAAGCAAAGCTCTAGACAACTTCCATTTGCCCATAACTTTCGCCTGCAATCAGCAATGGTGTCAAGAAGGTCAAGACTTCAAGATTGTTCTACACATCAAACAAAATCAGTTCAGAGCTGGGATGGAGTATCAGACATATAGACAGCTACAAATCAAACAGTACAGACAATTTCTGTCTTATATCACCATCCAAGAGGAACAGAGCTGAAAGTGTTCCCACAGGTCAACTAAGGTAATCAAAGCTCTTCTCTGTTGCTTTTAATCATGACTGCTGCAGTTCAGTCCCATTGTAGTGACGATTCAGTTGATATTCTAAAAAAGAACTTGCTAATTTTTGTTAAGATTTCTTGACCTAAAATTTCTCAGAGTATATCCTTTTCAAAACTATTGATTTCATCAAACATTTCTGAAAGACAATTAGAGTGACAATAAACCAGGCATCCCAGTTTGCTTTACAAATTTTTAATAGACTTAGACAATAGATAGGTAATATCCATCAAGTTTACCCTCCGTAAAGAATAATGTGGTTGTCCATAATTAATCCAAAATGAATTAATTCTGTCTGTCTGGAAAACCCAAGAGACCAACTGGACTTTGCAATGTGCCATAAAGGTGATTAAAGGTGAACAAAAGTATATTTTAGTGTGTTTAATTTAGATCTCCTCATCAAAAGCTTTTTATTGTTAGTGTCTTCTATTTTGTGTGGGTAAACTGCTGTGAACTGAGACAAACTTAGTTGATCATAGTTATCATGATATCCCCTCATTTGTGTGCAGACATGACCTCAAATAGGATAAAAATGGCTCTTAAATTTCTTTTTTGTAAATGTTTTCTGAAAGTGCTTTATCCAAAACCATAAGTATTTGTAATTGCTAATTTTGTATGCTAAGACATATGTTTTAATATACTTGTCCTCTGGTGTATGAAAGTCTTGAACTCTAAAACCAAAAAGAAAAAATATAGTTACTTTTTAAGGGGGCCACATTCTGGCTTTCTTATTTATATGGTTTAGTACTCAACACTGAAGTACCTACGCTGATTTAATAGCATGACTTGCTTTACAAATGCTAAAAAGAATACAAAAAAGATGGGATTCTTAGGTGGTAATTTTGTCATTGGAGAAATGTGGAAACTGTAAAATATGCCATTATGGTTTAGGTGAAGTATCAGTTCAGTGCTAACTGAAATGAATGGAAAAATTTGCAGGGTATTTCATAGGAGAGAAATTAAAATCTTAGGCCTTAACAGTCTTGAGTTCTGCATGGCAATCTCTTGTTGCAGACTAGGATGGAGACCGTATGTCACAAATGTGCTTGCTGAAGTATGAGATTTTGTTATAAATCTGCTCCCCCCTGCCTTCTTTTTTCTTTTTAAAAATAGTCTTACTGTGGTATTATTCAGAAGTTGTCTGTGGTAAGAGCATTTTGAAAAAGTATTATGATTTTTTTTAATTGGGTATTAGTTTATTTAATTTTATTCTGGCAGCTGCATTGAATATATTTTGCTATCCGGGAAACAGAAACAATTAACAATAAGCCCCACTCTGCAGTCACTGTACAGGCATAATTGCTGTCAATTTGATTGAAATTTTGCCTGAGAAAAGACAGTCATCAGTTCTTACTTTTTACACTGGAAGCAATAATCTACACAGTATGCACTGAAAGGACTCTTTAATTACAAGTTTTCTCAGAACCAACAATTTTTTTTTCTATATTTACTTGTGCTGGTAGATTTTGAAAAATACTTTTAAAATTAAGTGATTTATTTTCTTATGAAATTCTTAAGATAAAAGGACTTAATTAAGCATCTGCTTTCCAAGTCTTCTAGAAGTTCTGAGTAAACTCAATTTGGAATAGATTAAGTCTATTAAGTCTATAGCAGTCCCGTTTCTCTATATTTTCTATATTTATAATGTAGGTGCTGCTAACTAAATTCTTATACTGTGAAGAATTTTAATGACCATACCTTCAGATTGTCTTTTCACACAATTATTATAAAAGTTATAAAAAACAAGTAAAAAAAAAAAAGAAAGACAAATATATTGTATTGTTTCTTTAATATCCTAAACTGGATTTTTTTTCAACAGAATTAACTGTGCTCTCTCTTCAACACTCTGGCATATCCAGAGGGCGTTTGAAGTATCCAAAGTTATTAAACAGCAGCCAAATGTAATCAAAGTCATAGCTTACAAAAATGGCACAAGAAGGATCTTTGCTAAGGTTTCTGTGTCCTTAATTAAGCTAGTAACCCCAAAGAGAAGTTTTGTTGCATGCATAAAGTTTATTTGTAGCTTTTGCTTCAAACCCTAACATAAATCCTTTTTTCCTTTAAAATAAGCTTGCATTAAACTTTTCTTCCTTTGTACACTATTCCTAATGTGTGCGACTTGTTAAAAATTCTTATAAATGCTAAGTGAACTAAGTTCCAGCATACAGTACAATATTATTTGACATTAAAAGGCAAGAGAACAATACTTTTAAACCAATCTTTCTAAGGTTACGTGTTTTTCTCATCTTGTTATCCTATGATTTCTAGTAATAACCACTAATATACTAAGCGACTTGTAGTGCAGTTAGTATGTTTGGTAAATTAATTGAGAGTGGATTTTTTGTTTCCAATTTTATTTTTTCTGACTAAATATTGATCATAAAATAAATATGTTTGTAATCAGTATTCCTTACCTCTTGCATTCATTTAGCTGCTGCAGGAGCGCTCTGAAAAGCTGAATCTGAACATGGCTGCACGATGAGTGTTCTTGGCAGACAGCACTGAAGCACTAGAACCTAAAGACATACCCCACGATGCCGACGTTTATATTTCAACTGGAGAGACCTTTTTATATCCATTCAAAAAAACAAAAGGTAAAAAACCAAAACCAAAACTGAGAACCCCCAGCAAATGGCTTAAGGGGTGCAATTAAAAATGATTTTCGTCCTGTCTTTTTGCATGGTTTAACAAAACTAATGTTTACTCATTTACAGCTCAGTAAGAGGATAATGTGCTTAATGAAAGAAAAATCTACTGACAGCCACGTTTATTGCCCTTCATTAGCATTGGTACTTAATTTAATATAGATCTGAATAGACATTAGGGAGCCTGCAGGAGGTTAAATGGTGAAAATGTAAAGAGATTATTGAATTTACTGTTTAGTTTCAGTGACATCAAACAGACATAATTAATTAGGCTTATTCCAATAGCAAAAATAATCCAGAATGTAAGATTGAATTCATTAATGTCAATGTTTAAAATTTTTTCAAAGTTTAATACAGCAATATGGAATATCTACATTACTACTTTATTAATTTCAGATTGTTTGGTAAATTTTTCTTCTTTCCTTTTAATTTCTTTACCAATCTGGTAATTACGTTTTATTTTTTACAAGGGGGAAAACTATTTCTGAATCCTTTACAGTTTAAATGTGAGTGTAAATGTTTCTCTGTCATATTTTAAGATCATGAAGTACATTGTGAGATTTCTGCAGCAAATTTGTGGTAACATTTTATAACATTAGCTTGAGTAGGGTTCAGTATCAAATTCAAGATCCCAGTTAGGTATTTTATTAAACTATTGATTCAACTAGCATTTGTGATAAAGAACTTTTAATTGATATAAGCTAACATACAATAAAAAGTGAAATTATTATTAGAGTAGTGTATGTGTAGGTTGGAATCTACAATTCCAGTGTACAATTCCAATGAGAAATGCAAATAAGATAAATTGTTTAAAATTATGTGAAGCATTCCCATTGGTATAATCTCGTAGTAATAAAATGTGATATGTTTTTTAAAAATCTAGGGATAGCAAAGAAGAAAAACAAAAAATCATTCAACTAGTGTGCGTATTTTATATTTATGTTGTATATATTTTTTATATATATTTCCTTGTGCTTTTGGGCATTTTTTTTCTTTTGTGCTTGCTTTAGAAACAAGCCTTGCAGTTAATTTTTCTGCATAGTTTTTAAATAGCATTTGTTATCTTGGGAATTATTAGGAGACACTTTAGTGTTAAATATTTAATTCTGAGTTTCAAAATATTCAAATGATCTTTTGCTAATCTTTTACAGATTTATATTACTTAGTACAAATACATTTCAAGAAGATATCTATAGAGTACTCATTACTGGCTATTTGCCTAAGAAAATGACTACAACATAGCTGTCTCTATACACATAAAAATCTAATATTAATTAGTAGAGCCTTTATGATAGAAGTCCTGTAATTAAAAGTATGTTTACATATTCATGGAGGTATTCATGAATGAAACTTATGTTAGTAAGCCTGTGTCTTACATAATCAATTTTATATATGATAAGCTGTTGTTTATAACATAAAAATTATTCTGAGTATGATACAGGTGATCCATTCACTGGAATGGCTATAATGAATGGCCTATATATTCAGTAAAAGGCACAGATCTTTGTATTTATTCTTGCAAAAGTGTATGATAAAACTGCTATTGGTACTGTATGAATCATTGAAAGGATCCTATTATTGTAGTATTTTTATATGGGTACTGCTATAATTTGTTACAAAGTCATCACCGATACTCTTAGTACAGTTTCTCCATGCATATGACTTGAGTGTTATGATAGATTTTCAGATTCATTAAGCAAGTCCTTTTTTCTTTCTCTCATTTGCCTCTTGCAAGCCAAGTTCAAAACAAAAACTTCTGTGCTTTGTCTGCATATCTTTGGCTGTGTTTCATTGTGACATGCACTGCTGTTCTTTTAGCACCAAAATGTTGGCACACATTACTGAAAATTTCACACCATCTCTTGCTGGATCAGCAAGCTTAACCTACCAAAATCTGGTGTTGTTGAATGGTTTTTGACTGATAATCAATCTTTTTGCTGCTCGACAGTTGTTGCTGGGACACAGACTAGAGCAGGTGGCAGATGTGGCTTGTCTTTTGAGAAAAGAAAGAGTAGGTGAGCTTGGGCACAGAGTAACATATTGTGTGTCCATTAAAAGGGTAAGTATAACAGGAAAAAGTCACTGCTATAAGTAGAAAAGCCACCAATACCAGAAAATAGGCCTTTTTACGCCCCTGTTTACAAGTTTAATAGAACTGAAAATGACAGTGAATAGTGTAGAATTCCATGTGTTCAAAAATCAGAACTGATTTAAAAACATTCATAAATTCTCTGTATAATATTGCATAGTACTTTTTTGCTTGTATTTTATTATTTATAAATAGTATGAATGAACATTGTATACGTTTTTAAAAAGCTACAATATATTGAAGATAGATTTTAGAGATGTATAAAGACATAGGGCTAGACAGTACGTATTTTATATTTTCTTTCTCTAGCCCAAGATTGGGAAGAGAGCACAGAGTAATAGGACTTGTCAGTATAAAAATACTGATTGCTGCATTTGAGTCCTTAATGCATAGCTAACAAGGTCAAATGTCAGTAGCAAATCCTTTTTGCATGGGAATGGAAGATCAGTGATATACTGTAAAGCCCCAACCCTGCAAATATGTACAAGTGATCCCTTGGCAAGCAGACAGACTTTTTACATGTGTAGTTGCACAAAAATATTCGCAAGTTCAACACCTTTGTGGAAATCTGTATTTCAAGTACTGTATAAATCACAAAGTCTGTCAGAATTGTATTATCTTGCATACACTTTCATTGCTTCAAGTGGTATATATAAAATTATTATATATAAAAGTATATATGTATTTTTATATATATATATAAAGTATTATATATACCACTTGAAGCAATGTAAGTGTATGCAAGATAAAATTTAATACCCAGTGATGTTGATATCTTGGTTTATTTAAATTTATTCACCTTCTCATCTTTCTGAAATTTAAATTGAGATTTGGATTAAATGAATAAGGATTCAAACATAAGTTGTCAAATTGCATGATCTGGGATAAAAATTGAAAGTCATTGCTTCATTCTTTTCATTTAATTCAATATTTATAATAAATGCATGTGACATCAGTTATAAGGTGCCATTCCAACAGGAGTTTACCAAACAAAAAAGTATCAAATCTCAAGCATTTAAAACATATTTTCCTGGGACTTTTGTGGAAATAGTGTGTTGCAGAACTGTCCCAAAGAGTTAATGCTCTGTAGTATGTTGGTTTTCCATGTAATTTACATATGGTGATAGTCAATGGTTGTATTTAATTAACTGTTGGAAATATATGGGAGACCATGTACTTCAGTGTTTGTTTGCAGACACATATATTTAGCAGCTACTGAATTTTAAAATAGATTGAACATTCCTATTTATTCTTTCTAATACCTCGTGTTTCTCCTGTCAGCTTTTATTGTACCCCTACATCTCTTTGCAATTGAGTTTCATGTCTCCAGTGTAATTCTTCATTTTTTCTTCATTAGTTACCAATTTCTTAAGATGTTATTAATTTCTTTTTATTGAATTTGATTCCCGTGACATTAGCATCCTTGCCCTATAAAACCATCAATTTTCTATCACTCCTTCATAAAAAGTTTGTGCATTTTAGCAGTCATGCTATTGTGGAAAACATGACTTCTTCTAAACTTCATCTTCCATTCATTAACTTTTCAGTTTCTGTGTTTGCCATTTACCTTGGTCTTGCTTCAGAGTTGCTAAGTTGGAGATTTGGCTGATCGATCGATTGTGGACTTAGACTGCAATCTAAAACCAATTATGCGCAGGTCTAATTCACTGTACTACCGAAAGTAACATCAGTGATTTCTGAAGGAGCCTTCAGAATACTGAAGCTAAGCATTTATACAGATATACGACTATACTTAGTAGAGCTCCACTGACTATAATGGGAACTAAGATGTCTAGTTCACACATGGATGATTTACAAGTAGACACTTAATTTAGCTGTGCTGATCTTAAACTGAATCACTTCCTAAAGACAGGCATTTTGGCCAAAATGCTGTTATTGATATGCCACACTCACAGATTTTTTGTAAGTCATACTGACAAGGATTGCTTACATGGAGCATGGTCCACTTCATTGATCACATTGGCATTTCATCTGATTAATACATCTTATTACTGGGTGCAAAGCATTGTTTATGACCTACCTCCAGCTTTCATTCTGTGGATCACTATAGTAAAAGGACACTAGATATGGAAACAATTAGTACATAAATGTTCACATTTTTACTACTTAGCCGAAATGTCTGTACTCTTTATTTTAGCGTTATATTTGTAGGATGTATGCATTTCCAGTACTGTGTGGTAAAAGTAAAACTAAAAATGATGAATAATATTTTGTGTCTTTTATTAATGCACTGTGACAAGGAGGTCACTAGAAAAAGTAATCAATGTTTAGTGTTCTTAATGCTGCATTTCAGGTCTGTATGTAAATGAAGAGGTAAAGATTTCATTTAATAACATTTAGAGATCACATGATCAAGAAAATGAAGTAATTTACCAAGACAGGTTCCAATTGACAAGAATGTATGTGAATACATTTAAAATAGGATGCCTTTTCTACAAGGAGTAAATATCAGTGAAATGATGGATTCTTATCATTCTAATTATTGACTGATTTCAAAGTGTTTCAATTCTAAACAGCATTCTAAATAATGTAGGGCTTTTTCTGATCAACACATAAAAATGAAAGTTGTCACATTTTAGTTTTCAGAAAAAATGCGTCTCCTCTATGAGCTTAATTAAGAAGTTAATACATTTTATTACAATTTTTCCTGTAATTACTGTATTATATGCTATTATTTCAATGCATTTGTACTAGAATTTTGATTAGAAAAAGGAATGTGCTATAACAACTATTCATAAAAATGTGCAGAAATATGTATCTCATCATTTATTATGAGTTTATCCATCTTACAACAGATGTTGAAGATCTCAAGATATACAACAGGGATTTGCTATAAGCT